TGTGTTAATATGTTATTCTCTATCTACGATGGATATACGTGTGTGTCTTGTAAGAGAGTTTAATATTTTCTTACGTCGTGGAAAACAAAATCGAATCGTAATCACTGTGTTGGTGTTTGTGTCTTGTAGTTTGCCCACCCACTATGGCTGATGGTGGTAGACTTAGGGTCATCCTCCTGTTGGCCCTCTCATTGGCGGCAGTGTTCTGCCTCTTTAACGACGACGAAGGAGGAACTTCACTAAACAAGAGGCACAGCGTCATAAAAGGGAGGAATCTCCCATGGTCTTTCTCCAACACCACCAGGAACGAGAGAGTTAGGAATCTCCGCGCTGATCCCAATAAGAATTGGCTGCTAATACCCATAGACTATAACAAGATACCTCAAAGCTTCCCAGATAACCTTCCTGGGCCACCGAGTTCCATCCCTGAGGCCCCTAATATAGTCAACCAACAAGATGAAATATCCCAAATATCCCCCAGGCGATATTTTACATCTCAAGCACATTTTTTAAACTCCTTTATCGACCAAACGCGGCTTCAGTCATCACGGACTAAAGACACCACATATGTAGCAAGGCATCTCGCCTCTACTTCCTTTGAGGGTCTAGGTCTAACTGCTACGAATAGCCAAGGGTCAACTATATCTGACAGGTCAATTGAGGGTTCTGCCAATAGCCACACAAGGCAACCTTTGGGAGTAATCAGCCCTTCTGGACACTATGGTGAAGGACATGGCGGTGGCTCATCACGAGACGATACAGAAACATCGTCTCCTCAGCCCACCACGACCACCAAGCCCTCGCGCACCCACATGAATCCATCGACGATTGGGAATGCCACGGCGACACAACACTCTGTAGATATTCTCAGTCCCTTGTCCTCGTCGGCGATGATGAACTATATGACAACTCCAGGATCTGTTGTTGGGTTCAAAGCCTCTTCTCCATCCACAACGACAGTGAGCCCTGAGGAAATATTAAATTCCTCGTCCAGTGTTAATAATATGTACCTGTGCGACCATCCCCCATATAAACACTCATCGGAGTTCCTCGGGCAGCCAGGGGGAGCTTGTAAAGGATATGAGAAACTCAAGATCTTAGAATTCCAAGACACGTTGGATCTGTGTCGCTTTACCTACAATTTACTCTTCAGCGACGTGGAACCATTCAACATTGGAGTACTCAACTTGAGAGATTCAGTACTGGAGATATATTATGACGAAAATTTTATGAGAATGTGCCTCCCATTTTTCAGAAGATTTGATATTTGTGAGGAAAAGGAATTTCTCACAATATGCTGGAAGGCAAATGTGGCATTTATTCACTCCCTCGACTGTAAACAGCCGTCAAGAGTAGAATATCTTGCCTTCTTCCTCTTGGACGACAACCTTGAATGTTTTAAAGAATTATGCGAAGGTAATCAAAAGATTATTGATTCAGAAGTCAATGGACTGCCTTTTCGTTTAACTAACACTTTAATCAACAGCAGCCGTAATCCCTCGTGTGGCTACCAGGAGTACGGTCATGATCCCGTCAGCGGCAGCAACACAACATTATACGTCACTACCAATGTTCAATGGCCCTGCTGTTATAACATGTATCTCGTTATCTGGTTTGGTAACCCCGAGGCCCACGGGCTAAACGGTGACTGGAGTTACCTGTCAGCATCTTGTCAGGTAGGTGAGGTGTTGCTGATAGTGATGGTGGCGGGCGTGGCGGTGAGCGGGGTGATAGGGAACACACTGGTGATCGTGGTGATGGTGGGCGGGGGTCACAGAGGCCAGGAATCAAGCATGCTTCGCACCTCTCTAGCCGTCGCCGATTTACTCACTGCTGTCTTTGTTGTGGTTCCTTCCCTGTATCATCACCTCTCTCCCTTCCTCACCTCACCCGAATACATAATAGTGCCACCAGACGAGATGTTGACCAGTAATCCTACAAATGCTATTCATGCTTTTGAAATAAGTCAATTCTTCTCAAGTAAAAGTGGCTTTCTTCTGTTTCATTCAATAGTATTCAGGTTTTGTTCCTACGTTTCCTTACTGACACTCTTCCTACTGAGCGTAGAGAGGTACGTGATAACGGGAAGAGCATTACATTATCAAGATTACTTCACGGTGCAGCGGACCATCATTGCCATTGTTCTCACTTGGGTGGTTAGCCTCATCAACTCCCTGGCCCTCGCTGCCCACCATGATGGCCATCTCGCTTCACAGCAACTAACTTTCGAAAAGCTCCCAACCGGTGTTTCGGGTGAAATACCAGAAGGAATAATTTCTGTATTAATTTACCACTGTCAGATGGCACTCCTGTTACTGATAGGAATGTCTGTTCTTGTATTTTCTCTACTAGCCATCTGGAATTTCGTACACGAGCAGGCCAAGGTAGCAGCAGAGTGGAAATCTTTGGATATGAGAGTCACCAGCGAATTCCACAGGGAAAACCGCTACATACTGACAACAATGAGCCTCATGCTGGGATTCTTTCTCTTGTCTTCTGTGCCACTGACCATCAACATCATCTTTCAGTCCTTGGATTATGTATTTTTCCCCTATGCGGCCTTGTACTCTTACTTTGCCTGGTGGTTGTTCGTGGCCGGGTCAGCCTGGAACCCTTGGCTCTACAACCTACGCAGCAAACAGTTCAGAAGTGACGTGGCTGAGACGCTGCAGAAGATAGCACCGACAACGCTGAAGAAGATCTTTCAGCCTTGCGTAACACACCCACAGCGTTGGAATAAGTCACTCGATCCTGAATACCAGAAGAAACTTTGGGATATTTTGGAGAAAATAAGTCCACTAAAGGATGATTAATAGATAGATAGATATTCAGTAAAATCGCCTTAGAAATTTATATTGATTCAGCATGTGACAGTGAATCAAAAATACAAACTACATTGGACAATATTGCCTGTACCAGTTGGCAATGTAAAGATGTACTGTACCTTCCATCTTGGGAAAGTAAACAGCACCATACTAAGTGCCACACTTATGGAGGAAATACATATGTATAGAAATACACAAACTGTAATCTACTATAATTCCTAAAATATTACTGACAATGTAGAGTTTCTCGGATATAATTAAATAGAAAAATAGATAGGCTCATCGTTCATACAAATCCACACCTATAAATACAAAAACCATATAATATATAAACAATGGTAAACAAAAGTCAATTTAAAGAAGAAATGCCTTGTTCATTCACATACTGAATCAAGATGAATTTGTATGAGGAATTATATATATATATATATATATATATATATATATATATATATATATATATATATATATATATATATATATATATATATATATATATATATATATATAACGGCCTGTGAATGTGTGAATGTTGAAAATACGATTGATCAATTTCGGATAGTCAAAGTGCAAAGTTACATTTTTGTAGATTTATTACGCACAATTTTCCCGCCCCCCAGCAGAGGCAAAAGACCCGAATGGAATTAAGTTCATGATGGCTTTGCTGGGCTGTCCTTGTGTGAATACTTCCTGTTTACCATTGTTTGTATGAAATCTGTATTCCTAGAATTGTGTGTGCACATACAAAATAAATGTGAACTTATATGGTGATTGTAAAGAATATCAATCGATGTATCTATGTAAATATCAGCCGTCAGCCACAATAAACAAGTTTATCCTACACATTTAACCATTTTCTTTTTAAATATTGAAAACACTAAGTTTATTATCAAAATGCAGGATTTATTAAAAATACTTACTTCGTGGGCAATAATCAAAGGTTTCTGTTTAATTAGAATCACTTAAAGAGATTAGTTAATATTGTCAAGTTTATAATTATAAATAATAAACTATAATAATGACGAGTCTGAAAGATTACTTACACTCTACAGTATAATGCTTCATATAAAGTTATATGGCTAATAAATTCATATTATTCCTTAAAATATATAAACTATTGTGAGGAAGTGAATCAAACTAAGCTAGTAGGGCTCAAGAGCGTTCTGCCTATGATCAGTCCCTCCTAATACTCTTCAAGGGTGAGTTGCTTCCCCGTTTAGAGTACAGTACAGTCTACACTGTAGACTCTACAGTAACAGTGGTCTTCGAGATATAATAATGACCGCCAGTTGATTGAAAACGTCCAACGGAGGGTCACCAGACTGGTGCCTCGGGTACCCTGAGAGATTAGAACGCTTTGCATTGCCCAGCTTATACTATAAGCGGGCAAGGGTTGCCTAATATAAATTTATAAACATTTCAGAGGGCATTATTCAGTTGAGTGTACATACCTGGATCTGACGGGTGAACGTCTCACTACAGGTCACAGTTTAAAGTTGAAGAAGCCACAAGTTCAGAAAATTGTCAGGGCAAACTTTTTCGGAGAGTTGGGAATTCTTGGAACAATATGCCACTGTTGTGATGGCACCGAGTGTGAGATCATTCAAGACCAGACTTGACCAACACACACTGGGGCAGGTACAGATACAGTGCTTCCCCAGGACTTGTCTACCCAGTGGCAAGAGGATGAAGTGATTTTGGCGGGCTTTAAATTAAGAAGTTTGATTTTGTAGATGATTACCTCAATATTAATAAATATGTGAGTTTAAACGGAATAGTTAAAGAAATTGACACGAACTTCAGACAATTATATACGAGTGTGTGGTAGAGTTTGATGCTTATGAGGTCCGGGTAGTATATTATAGTTTTCTCTTAAAGGTGAAAAAAAGAGTTTAGTTATGTGAATAAATACCAGACTTAATTATAAAATATTATTTTTAAAATTATCAAATGAAGACTTTGTGGTGAAAGTGAGAAAAAATCAGATTATTCGGGTACAATTGAATGCAGATTGTTTTGTTGACAACTGATGTTAACGATACTTCACGACCACAAAAATTATCAGTTTTAAAGCGATACGAACAAACAGAGCTTCTTTTAACTTATGATAGAATTTTTTTGCCACGTTACATCACGTTTGTAAATCTTCGAATCAAATGAAAATAATCATAGTGACTTAACGGTTAGGGTCGTGGTATTATTCTAGCATTAGTCAGCTTGAGGTATTGTGCGGAGAAAACTTTAGTCAATCTCTTCGCCTGAACTAACCTGTTAATGTTTCCCATCTGCAATTGACAGGTGATGTGAAAAATACACTTTGTCAGTTCTCCCAGTCACTTAGTCTGCACAGCTTTTAAATAAGTGGCTGTATGAACAAATACTCTCCATCAGTTTAACATAGTGTATCCACCTGGCCATGACGTGACTGACCTTCCACAACCAGTTGTACCAGTGACAGCTGTCTCAGTCCCAGATAACCCATAGATTGATAGAGTTATTACAGCCAGAGTCATGGGCAGGACGGTGGTGGCAGAGGACAGCCTGCAGGACAAGCTCACTGCATTGGCTAAAGCTGGTACCTTCCAGATTGGCATACTCATTGGTCAGGTACGTATGGTAATGTTGGAGAACACGGTTAGCAGTAGATATAGCTTATGGAATTGAACCAATTTTTTGGGTTAGATACTATTTTAATGATGCTAAACACAAGAATGCACATAACCTAGCAGAGCCTGACCTAATCAACCGAACCAAAAGAGGTGAAATTATACTTTCAGTCATCCCTATGTTTTTCCAACGCTTTTTGGAGGCTTTTGAATGATTTTGATCTAACTTAACCTAGATACAGAACCCAAAAACTATATTTAACCTAACCTAAATTCCTAGAATTCCCCAAATGACTGACATGATAATAATACCACCAAAAAGAACCTACCTAACTGTCTATCTTAGGGGTTCCACCCCCGGATACCCCAGTATAGGAGGCACAAAGAATTTCCTTTGATATCCAGTACCAATGAAAGCAACTATCTTGAAGATGCATGGTGCAATTTTATGTTTTTTATGGACTTGAGAGTACGGTCAGTTCTTGCATTGAAACATATTTCTTCTCCACTCTCAGTTCTCTGCTGCATCTTGAACACTTGCACACCTTGCCAATTAGTCAATGTTGACAGATGAACTCTTGGAGATTGTCATCATCCTCCACAAGCACAGATAAATTGTGATATGATACTGAACACGACATGATAAAGACACCGTTAAAAAAAAATATTGCTTCTCCCTCAGTCCTCCTTGAGGAAGAACAATAAGTAGACAAACATTCAGCTCACTTATTAACCAATTAACTCGTACGGTACGGTATTGGAAATGAATCAAAACTTATAATATGGGTTTCGATTCCTACAATATGATTCTCGTCATTTGTTAAACGAATAGGTTTATGAACCTATACTGGTAGTAAAATTCCCGATATGACGCTCTGTTGTTTATTGACACTTTAAGCTTGACTGGATTCAAAATTTATTTGCTTACGATTGGAGGATAACACACGCCAAGAGGCCAGATTTTACAGTAAAAATTATTTTTATTTACATACTAAGCACATACAGACTTAATTTAAATGTCGTACGATCAGTATTTTGTCGTGTTTTTACCCCGCAATTTCCCTTATCCTTCATGCCCTGCCCACTACAGGTGATTTATGCTTGTAGATAGAGAAAATGGAAGAAATTTCAAAATATACATTTATAATGAAAATAAAGAATTGTTTTATTGATTTGTTTGTTAATATCATTCGAAGTACAGGCAGTCCCCAGGTTATGAACGAGTTCCGTTCCTGGGGACGCTCTCAAGTCGAAAATGTAACTAAAGTCCTTGTATAATATCGGCCCGCTTAATGTTGTTTCAGTACTACGCCACTAATCTTTAGATACCCAAGATTCGTTTAACGTCCCGATGACTCAGTACAACGTCATTTTCCATCGACACGGACTACTTTTTACGGCGCATGTCCCTCTCTCGGCTCAGCTTGCTACATACCTCTCACTCGCGGAACATCACAGCGTCCCCAAGCAACGCCGAGTCAGTCTCTGTTACGACTTCACATCATTCATGTGTGTTTAAGTGCTTTTGCTCTAAAAACTGTACTCTAACCATTCGAAATGGCTTCCAAGTGCCCATCAATTGCTATTGATGCTAGTGTAGTGAAGAGGCAACGTAAGACCATTACCCTTGATACGAAAATGGATGTATTAACCCGATTTGAAAAAAGGGGAACGTGCTGTGGACATAGCCGCTGTGCTAGGTCTAACCCCTGCAATGGTGCATGCTGTCCTGACCAACGTGGACAAGATTAAGGTTAGTGCTGGAAGTGGTACTACTCTCAGTGCAACTAAGACAACTCGCACTAGAAGCACTGTGATAGAAAATGTGGAAAAGATGCTGGCTATGTGGATGGAGGACCCAAATCAATGCAATACGTCTGTGAGCCTTATGGTTATCCAGCATAAGGCCAGATCCTTGTTTGACGACATGAAGGAAACAGAGGGTGAAGGATCGAAGGAAGAGACCTTTACGGCTTTGATGAGCTGGAATCAGAGGATATTGAGGAAGTCCTGGCATCCCATACAGAAGAGCTAACTAATGAAGATCTGCAACTGCTAACAGAACACAGTCCCATTGAAGACGATGACGACGAAGAAATTGCACAACGAACGCTAACTGCCAAGAGGATGGCAGAAGCATTCAACATGATCCAGCAAGGTATGCAAATCCTTATTGATGACGACCCAAACAGAGAACGTAGCTCAAAGATTCAATGCAGCATTGATGACAGTCTAGGCTGTTACACTGAGATCTACAAGGATAAAAAGAAGAGTAGCACCAAGCAGTCAACGCTGAATTTATTTTTTTGTCGCGGGACGGCAGAAGCAGCATCTTCACCACAGTCTGCAAGCGAGGAGGAGCAAGCAGCGGTGGAGGAACCCCAGTCAGAGCAGGAAGAGGAGGCAGCCGCAGAGTCTCAGTGACTCGCCACCCTCCTCCTCCGCTCCCGCCATACTCCTCCCCTCCCGCCATCTGCCTCCTCCGCTTCACTACCCACCACACACTCGCTATACCACCTCAGCCCATCGGTGAGTACCAATACAAACTTAGTACAGTACTATAGTTGTACGTATATGTATGCACTATTTTCAATAGAAATGGCAATGATTTTTTATATATGTAATGTATGTCATGGGGCAAAGGGAGGCTCAAAAACGTAACTCCCGTATTTTATCTATTTCTTATGGGGAAAATTGATCCGCTTAACGTTGTTTCGTAAAACGTCTCGTTTTTAAGAACGTAGCCCCGACGTTAAGCGAGGACTTACTGTAAGTCGAAACGCATGCTATGTGCATATCGTACTTACGGAACAATGTCTAAAATCCCACTACACTATATCATAGCTTAAGTCCTTATATATATCTAAAATCGCTTTATTTAAGAGAAAAGAAGAAATAGAATGACAAAATACAGTAAATGAAAATATAAAATACTTCATCAGGTAAATAAAATACCAGTACAGTACTGTAAATTTAAAGTTTAACCTCGTATGTATCAGCAGATGTTTGTAAGTCGGACGTTCGTAAACTGGGTACTGCCTGTATAAGTGGAAAATATGAATGAAATATATAAACATATTTTGGTGCTAACTGCCTGCTACACTACCCTGTACAGTATTGCCATAATAGTGGAACAGATGGTTAGCACCCAAAGGCCTTTATAGAATTTACTTAAATTTTCCACAGTTGTTTTTTGGATGATAGAAGTAACTAATAAAAATGATACCACATCATCTTCCTTTTATTTTATTTTTATTTTTCTCCATGATCATAAATCACCTGTAGTGGGCAGGGTATGAAAGATGAAGGAAATTACGGGGTAAAACACAATGAAAGAATGATCACATGACCTGTCATATCATATCGTTATGTGCTTTGTATTCAGTGAAATTAATTATATACCGGTACTATAAATATTCTGCCAGTGGCTCTTCTTCTGTCCAACTGTTAGATAGGGTGGAATCAAAGGCATTTCGTCTTATTAACTCTCCTCCTTTAGTTGATAATCTCTCTTCCCTTTCTCTTCACTGCAACGTTGCTTCACTCTCTCTCTTTTATAGGGACATTAATGGGCAATGTTCAGTGGATTTGGCATCCTGTTTACCGCCGGCAAGGCCATGGGCTCGCAACACTCGTCTTGCCCGCGGTGCCCACCGTTTCTGTGTGGATGTTGGCAAGACTAGAATAACCGGTTATAGTACAGTACATCCTTCTTTCCTCACACAGCCAAACTGTGGAATGCTCTGCCTTCTTCTGTGTTTCCATACTCTTATAATCTGTCTCACTTCAAAAAGCTGGTTTTCCGGCATCTTCGTGGTGTAGATTAATAGTCTTTTTCTCTTCTATTTTTATTTTATTTTTACTCTATTTTTTCGCTCCTTAGGCCCCATTGTGGGTCCATGACCTGTGCCTGGGTGAGCTATTCCCCGTAAAAAAAAATAAAGCTAGCAGGACGTGCAAGTTTTCAAAATGAGACAGAATATTGACACTGAAAAAAAATGCGTGTTACAGTGCAACAACTGACAAATGTAAAATCACACAATGCCGCCTCAAGAAAGTTACTTTCATTGGTACCTGATTGGCTCGCTTGCCAGACACACAGAAAATCCCAGAGATGCGCGCACACATCTTAATGTGTTGTAGGAAGTTTAAAGCTCAGTGTGCAATATTATGCATGATTTGCATTATGTGCACTGAAATAAATTTAACAGTCATGATCCCATTAAAAATTTTGAGAAATAATGGTGTGACCCTCATTAACCTTAACCACATCAGTAAATGTTACTTACCAATGTTTCTATTAAGATAACGGGTAGTTTAAGTAGGTTAGGTGAGAAAGATGAAGAGATAGTCACTGGTGAATAAAAAGGGTTGATTTGCACTGAGAGGAGGGTTAACATTTCAGAGCACTAATGACCGTGACTTCATTGTTCATTTGGCCCCGACGCCTATCCCAGATGAAGGAGATTTGAGTTCAGAAGAAGAAGAGGCTCTGCCAAGTCCCAAGACAGAGGCCAAACCAAAATTTCCTGACTCAATTGCTAAGGTAGTCGACAGTACCATATCTCAGCACACAAGACAGGTAAGATTTGTAGCAGTTATTTTAACAATCTATTGAAAGTGCTCAGAAGAAGAAATTTTTTTATTTCTTTTTTTCAGGATTTTTCCTTTTTTATTCATGAACACGTGGTAGAAAACTGACTACTGTATCATGACTTCAGTGATATTTCCTGTTAAAAATATTATTTGAAATTTGAATTAAACTTTAATTAATTTATGGACATAACTTTGTTTATTTCTTTATATTCTTGTCTAATACTGGTTAGTCCCTTTATATTTTTATTGAGGAGAAAATAATATTGTACTTGTATTGTACTCGATCAAAAATTACTAACACAAGAATGGCCCTCAGGTTGTGCGCATGCTGCCAGGTGGGCTGGATATTATTGGCATCTACGTGGTGACACCTCAAGCAGAGTTTAACTCTTCTCTCAGTCAGTCTAAGCTGCGCTCTCTTCTGGCATTGGCTCACAGGACAGCATCCAGGATTCTGTTAGACACGGCAGAAGTTAGAACTGAGAAGACTATCTTACACGTTTGTTCACAGACATTCAAGTAAGATGCTGTTGAATTGTGTAAATAATTATATAGTACTGTACAGTACAAAATAGGTATGGTAAAATGCAGATAGATATTCCTCAGAGTGAGAGGGATTTGTTGTGTATACTGTATCGCATATGATTTCATTATCAGTGTAAATACCTAAACAGTTTAAGAATCGGATCACTAATTTATATAATTAGGTAATCAGAAAATTGTGTGATAATAAACCAGTTTTATTTTGTTATTTATTCATTCTAGGATTTTCTGCAAGAGTGTGGATGTATCCCCCACAGCACCCAGTCTTCCAGCAAATGCTGAACTCAAGTTTCAGCGAGGAGGAATCAAATGGCAGCAGCTGAGTTACTCATACAATATCAACCTTAACTTCTGGCTTCCAAAGGACAGGTCGACACAGTCTCTCTATAAGACAATTCTCGTAAGACCTCTCATAGCTAAGTGGTTTCTCCTGTAATTGTGTAGGTGTAGGGAACTGTTCCTGTGTGAGTATTTTGTGGGTAAATAATCTACTGTTCAGCTAATATATGACTGGTGACCATTAGCGGTTCTGTAATTTCTGGTGGGTGTTTTTAGACACAGTTTTGTATGCTGATTACTTTCAGTTCTGTTCATTTTCTTGTGCAAATGCTTAGTTTTCTAGATATAGGCAAATTGAGATAGCATTCCTTTAGTCGCATCATCAGCTGTGACGTGGCAGATGTATTATGGCTGTTAGTGGTTCGGTAATTATGAGGGACATGGCTGTCAGTAGCTCAGTAATTATGAGTGTTTTTAGACACACTTTTTATGCTGATTACTTTCAGTTCAATTAATTTTTTTTGTAAAAATGCTTAGTTTTCTAGATATAGACGAGTTAAGATGTAGGTTAGGTAAAGTTTTGTTAGATTTGGTTTAGTTAGCACAATGATTTCAGCCATTTTTATATTTTTCACAACATAATACAGCATCCCGTAATAAAGCTAGTAAACCAATTTTCAATGAAGAACAGCGGACAATCATTATCCGAACAATTACCAACTGTTTTCTCAGGGTGCGTAAAGGAGGTGTGTGTGTGGATAATGTATATTTAAATAATATAAGAGTACAAGTACTGTAAAGGTAATTGAGAGTTTTATTGCTTTCAGTTTGTGTACAAAAACATTACATTAAATGACGGAGTTTTGTTCCTCAAAAACCTAATGTTAAACGAGATTATCACTAAATGAGGGATAACAGCGAAGCACAGAGGGCGAATAACAGGATTAAATGGCAGGGCGGTAAACACCGAGTACGGTATTCCCTAATAAGAATAAATGAGTTTGTTATAAGCAGTTTCCAAGTTAAACGATGGATTTAACAGCAACCAAATTTCTATGTAAATGATGCAGTTTTGAACAAATTTCAAATTACATATGTCAAAAATGAAAAAAAGCTGATAAACCTTAAATTGATGTTTTTTATATACAAAAAGTAGCTCATTCCACACTCAAACCATCCTCTGGGTGACATGACAATTCAGGCAGGCAGTCACCCGGTTGACTCAGAGTCATGTGGCTTCTGCCGCGGTGTGCTGAGTGTATGCCGTGACATCACATCAGGGGAGGGAGCACGGCCAGGCTGGCAACACAGATACAGTTCACTGCTTCCACATGTGTGTTCACTTCCTACACATACATACCCATGTATCTTTATATTTCTTATTTTATAGTATTTTATATGATACTGTCTTTATTTCTAAGTCACAATAAAGTAATGTAATGATTTTTCCAAAATATTTATAGTTTCATTACTGTATATGTAACAATGGCAATATGCATAACCTCTCACAGACCACGTATCCATCTCGCTGGCCACCTCATCCACAGTTCCCCCCCCATCCTAGTGAGTCAAACATCACTAAACTGAATTTTGATGTAACATTAAGTGAGAAAGGGTATAAAAAAAATTATCACTAAGGCAAATTAATGGTAAACTGTACTGCTTATCATTTCAGACCTTTACTGAAATAATGTTTCTAACCAAGAGCTTGATTTCTGTCAATTTGTTGTGTATTTTACTAGGTAATTCATGTCAAAACCAGCTCCTTGAATACTTCCTCAGACCTTGATAAAACCCTGGGCGAAGAACGTGACAGAGAGTCTCATCCTCATTGACTCGGAACTCCCGGATGATGACGAGCCATTGAATTCGAGCGTAGATGAAAAACCGTCCAAGAAAAAAGGGGGCAGTCGAGGCATCATGGAGTTAGTCCCCCCAAAAGTCTTCTTTGCAGAAATTCTTGACTCTTGTGCTCCTTTAACATCTAGTAATGGGTTAAATGAAAGCTCTGGTTGTATACGTCTCACTGGAACTCTGGCAGGATTGGCGTTTGTGCATTCAAAGGTTAGTTAATATTGTCCACATAGTCTGTATGCGTTTGACAAGTATTTAGAAAGTTAGTTGGTCAGTTTGTTTATTTTTAGTTGGTTGGTTGGTTTTTAGTTAAGTACAGTAGTTAGTTATTTTTAGTTAGTTAGTTTTTAAGCTAATTTTTCTTTGTTTACCATACAGAATTTGTACAATGATACATCTGCAAATATAATTATGAAATTATCATTTGTATTGATTACAGGTACAGTAGTATGATAAAGAATAGTGTATTTAAGGTGTAAAAACAGATGGAAATATTCACATAAGGTATTGTTGGAAGTGAGTAGGAGACAGAGTTCAAGAACATACAGCCAAGTGTTGTGTGATTTTGGCATGAGAAAAGGGACTTTATTGTGTGAATCTCTGGCTCAGGCAACTGTGGGAGAGGCCCGTTCTGCCGTGTTGATTGATCTAGTTCGCTCTGTTGTGGCTAGATGGGAGATGCACTGTGATTCCCTTGTGGATGAACCACCATCACACCTCGTTGGCCCCATCATCCACGAGCCTCCACGTCGAGTATTTTTAGAAGGTAAGTTACATGTTATGTGTTAATCAATGCTGTATTAATTGACTTTAAGTAGTATTGATGTATTTAGTGTTGTGGTTTCTCTTAGGTTTTGAATATACTGTACAATATGTATTTAATTTCTCTGTGTTAATAGGGTTAGGATACAATATAGACCTTATTAAGTCTAAACAAGCTAAAAGCTGTACAATATTTCCACTTGGACAGCAAAAAGATTTAGCTGTGTCCTCCGTACTAACTGCACAATATGAGAATGATAAACAAATTAATCAATATGGTGTTGATATGAAAGCTGAACCTTAAGTGATCATATATGTGATGACACTCATTTACTGGCTGACTGAGTTCTCTTTGTGTATTTATATTATGTAGTGTTAAAAAAATTACTGAACCAGATACTGTACTATGATTTAATAACCATTTGAATAATGTTGTTGTTGTTTTTAATGTAAGCAATTTATTATGATTAATTGCAACAGGTAGAGCTTGAAATTATGAAGAGGCTTTATTTTGAGGATGATAAGCATCTAACAGCTAGTTCATTTGCATTTTCTCTCCCTCTATTGGAAGATGCCATCAGCCACCCAGGCAAATCATGGACACTTTTTTGTGTGTTTCAGGAATATTTAGGTTATGAAAATGTTTCAGTACTATCAGACTAGAACCCTGTGGGTATCAGTCTGAAGAGTACCGTACATTCTCTCTACAAGTCTCATGTTAATAAGCCATATTTGTGTGATAATGACAAAAAAATAACCTGGACTTCTATCACCTATATATTTGTGCAGGTGGTGGGTTACCTGTGAGTTTGTGTGATTATCTCTTCCCTGGTGACACCTGTTCTGATGCCTGCCAGTCTGCCAAGGAGCTGCTCAGTGTCAGAGTTCGTAAAGAGCATGTAGATGATACCCTCGAAACTCATGCAGGTCAGGAGATTAACATAATTACACAGTGCAGTACTATACTTATATAAACCCATTACCTTAAATTTCAATGTTTATCTTAACTTACAAGTCTCGCTTTTGCTGTGACAACTTCAGATTTCTTTTATAGACACAGTGAAACCTCTATTTAATGGACTATATAGAGAGAGGAAAGTCTGTTATATCGAGGGTCCATTAGGTATGAAACTTCCATCTAATGAACTATATCAAGATGAAATCCGTTATATGGAGGTTTCACTGTATTCAAACAACCTTTGGTTTGTCACTTCTTAAAATTCAGAACTGGTGGCACAAATGGTTTGTGCCACCAGTTCTGAATTTTAAGAAGTAAATTGTGTGCTTGAAAACCCAGGCCAGTGAAACAATTAAAAGCAAAATTCAGTCAAGAACGTCAACTTGATTTTTTCCAATTTGTCAGATGCTGCAGAGGTAATGGATGGAGGTGATGTGGATGCCGACGGAGCACAACAGCTGGAAGGTGACGGTTCCAGCCGGGAGGAAACCTGTTCCATCAGTTATATACTATTAGCTGTCATTATTGGCGTACTAGGTATTGGAGTATCGTATATCGCATTGCTAGGGACAAAGGCTTTAACATAATGTCATACATAATTTTTGTAGGTTGTTAATCATTGAGACACTATAGGTAAGTTATCCATCAGAGCAGATATGTGTTCCTAGACACCCAAAGAACATTTGAGATGGAATTTTTGTACTTTAGAAGAAAATAATATATATACTGTGGCAAACCATGTTATTCAAGCCAATGGATAATTTTGTGTACCAGTAATGGTTTTCACACCTGTTCATTGTTGATAGTGTTCAGGATTGTTGGGCTGTGTTGTGGTTTTATGCTCTTCCTTACTTTCTTTTCCTGCTCAGGGTCATTATTCCTTACATCTATTCCTGCACTGAATGTATGCCAGATCGGGATTCTAATATTAAACAGTTTTTCCTAACAGTTTACTCACTTGAAGGTCTGCATTTTCATTTCTCAGCTGAATAAGGACTTGAAAAAATTAAAGTACTTCTGTAGTTTTGTGATTCTTTATTGATTCGAAGGTGTAGATGACAGTTATATTTCAGGAACTGGAGCTATACAGATGAGGAGAAATGTGTTATTCAAAAGAAAAGAGTGTGTGTGTGATTTAACATCTATTCTTGTAATGGTGAGGTACTGTAAGTGTGATGGCACAAGCTTAATTTATTCAACGAGAAGAATTTTGCTCAACTATATAATAACTTCTTATTGTATACTGTTGTTACTATTTGGATAAAGCCAAGGAATCTAATATCTATCTGTCTGTTCATTTATGTCTTGTATGAGTCAGGCTTAACTGTAAAGCCTCTTCCTATACACAATCCTCATTAATGCATGTCATTTCTGGTGTGGCTGGATGTTCTTAGTCCAGCCTCCTTACCTGATAGAGAAACATTGTCAAATACAGTACTGTAGATGGGTAGCTCAAGTTTTGTTTGATGGAGAAAGTTTGCTTTTGGCCCACCCAGTGTCAAGTTTTGGAAGAGAGAAGAAAGTGTCTGACTTTGTCAAATTATGATAGACATGTTTCACCAAACTTTGATAGGTACAGAAAGAGACAGATAGAGTTCACCAAATTGTGATATGTAATGTGCATTAGTTGATGTAGGTACGGTATCTGTGTTAGGGAAACTGTGTAATAAATCCTTGGCTTTTATTTTCAGTAGATTACCACCCACGACAACTTAATGGCTTATCATTTTGTCCTGCCACAGATAATCTCTGGTATAATGTATTGGACTGTCACATGTAAACTTCAGTGACTCTTCCTTTATGTTCCGAGGCAGCTTGGTTGTTTTTGTTTTGTTTCTTCCCTAAAGAGGGTTGTTAAATTTCTCCATAACTTCAATGATTTTTGGCTGTGCTTAACCTTTCCTGGCTTGAACCATGGATGTTTTTCATGCATAGGGAATTTTTTCAAGGGTGACGTAATGCATTTGTTGACCAATTGTATATTGGTATTTTTTTCCAATTTGCACATGTGTTTTGTGTTAAATTTTTAATGATAACATAGATTGATATACAGAATACTTTTTGTAAGTTGAAACAGTTTGTTCTGATGAATGTGGTATAATACGTGTTAAAGAGTCTGACTTATTGAATTTTGTACACATTTTTGCTTTATGATTTATTTGGTTGCCAGATTAGGGGCTGTTGCTTGCTTCTTTTGGCTCTTTCCTAAATACGCTTATTTTATTATGACTTACTGTGTCTGATTGATTTATCAATTAATTTCCTTTTAAAGAGGCAAGAATAGAATATACTTTTTTACATGAGAAACATGAAAATAAACAAATAATACTAATGTAACCAGGATATAAATTCAATGAACAATATTATATAAAAAAGGAGAGTGTAGGGAAAATTGAAGATATTTTTGTTTTAGCAATTTTTGCAGTCGGTGGGTACAGTACTTCTGCTTAATACCTTACCTCTTTCCTGTCACTTTCTATACTTGCCTAGTGCTACTTTTGTATAATTTTCCCTCTTTAAGATGTCTCTGCCTCTTGATTCATCCCACATATAAGTAGAAGAGGAGGAACGATAATGCAGATAGATTTAAGTCTCTCAAATGTATGGTACTGAAAGTTTACCTGTTAAAAGAGACATTCAAATTAGATTCGGAGTTTTACCAGTCTGTTGTTATTAGGAACTTTAGAAATGCAATGTCGATGTATCCTGTACACGTGTTTCAGTAATAATTCATGATACAGTAAGCTTTCACATTATCAGATTTTGAAGTACTGGAACTCAAGGTTATTGCACACTTAACCCCTTCACTGCAGAGACACTACTACTGTTTTAATTTGGCTAATCCTAGACGATTTTATTCAAGCCAGAGGGGTCCCATACGCAAGGGATTAAAAAGAATAACATTTAATTTGCCATTCTACTAATATAAGTTGTGGACAAAGGGTATGCAGGAATGTATGGCTCAGCATTTATTTTCAAATGTGAGAACAAACTAAACCAAACAAGAGTTGTAATTTATGTAGTGAATATTATTTTTGTCTTTTTATTTCTGCCATGGGAGAATTTTTTATTTTCATATAAAACCTAAAATTGCAATTACCGGTAAAAAAAATCAACCTGAACATGAATACTGTATTGAGGTTAGATAAGTCTAATTCTCTTCAGTTGTTTGTACAGTGCTGTATTTTCCTCCCCTTACCTTGAACAATAATACCAAGTCTGACTCAGTTTACATAGTGTACAGTACATGTATAAACCTTTATATGACTAACACACAAACATAGAAAATGGCCATAAAATAATAATAATAATGATGATAGATATTGTATACAGTAGTGTACTTGTTAAAAAAATAATTAACTGGATATTGAAGATAATGGAATTAAAAACTCCAATAATATATCGCTCAAGTTCAAGTGTATGTTAGTAAAAAAAAATTTAAGTAGGTAACAGTAAGTATCCATAATTAATAAATGATCATTGATTTATTTGAGAACCCTAAGTGATTACAGTACTATATTTTAGGACATGCCATAAACAGGAACCTAAAAATAGATTATTGTGATGATATGATCAGACTTTTTTCCTACTGGTTTTTAGGTTCCTGTTTATTGCATGTCCTAAAATATAGTACTACTGTAATCACTTAGGGTTCTTGAATTAAAAAATGCCCTTGTAGTGTACAGTTTATGCTTGAATATGGTCAGTCCTAATAAGTCTGATAAAGTGAAGTCTTACTGTACGGAGAATTACACACACTAATCAAGATTCCATTCTGTGAGGGTTCTGTACTGTCTTAAAGTATAGAAATTTGATGCATGTGAAAAGGTGCTCAATTTAATGTTTTATGTTTGAAGATTTTTGACAGCAGGATGAGTGAATGATGGTCAATATTATGTTTTTTGTACAGTTTGAGAAAGGAATTTATACAGGATATTTTTTTTTCGAGAACCTTAAATAGGGTTCTTAAATAAAAAATTACTCTGTAGAAAAAATTTATGGCGTATCCAGGAATGTAAGTGGGAGTTTCTGTAAATGGTATGTACAGTATTTATTAAATATTGTTGGTGCTGACAGAACTACTACAGTATACAGAAAATTACTTAGTTTGCAGAGAAGTTCTTGGCAGTATGTGGCACATATTTATTAAAAGTCATGTGAATTGAGCTTTTTTTTTGTGTGTGTGTATTGTTTATTTGCCTACACTTATACTGTGCCTGCTAAATTGTGTGGTGTATTTTGTGAGATATGGCAACTCTATCGAATGGTTATCTAGCATCCTTAGTCTGTCTTCTGTTGTGAGTCTCCTTATAGCCATGTCTGAGAGTTTTAATACGATGTTAACAAAAACAAAGTTGCCACACCTCTCAAAACGTGCCAGCCATTGTACCAGGTATAAGTGCAAATGACTGTACATTAATATAAATTGTGCTTTAAAGTCGATTCAGTGACAATTGAGAATATTTCAAAACCAGTGTCTGATGGTTATTGCCTAAAACTACATAGAAAAGAATTAGTATACAGTACAGTCAACCCTCACTTTACGCGGTTAATATAACCCACAGGGTACCGCGGAAAGTGAGAAACGCGTAAAGTGAACAACATAACATATGGGATTAATTGAAATAGAGACCGGGCCGACCCCCAAACTCCACTTTTTGACGACACACAACTATGTTGTAGCAAAAATTTTATCTTAACTTTATGATGGTATGCACAAACAATTAATATAGAAGAGGTTAAGTTAGGAAAAATAAAGGTTAGGTTAGGAAAACTAAAAGTTAGGTTGAACACTTATGTTAGTAGAAGAGATGGGTCGGCATACGGGGATGGAGGCTGGTTCTGAGGCAGAGGGCAGGCTACTGGCCCTCAGGTGAATCATCATCACTGTCATCCACACTTGTCAGGGCCTCCCTGACAAATCCCTCAAAGTCATCATCACTGTCTCTACCTCTGTCACTATCACTGGCTTGGGCTGGCTGTGGTGGGTTGCGGGCGAAGAACTCTGTTATGCTTTGCTGACGGCTGGTGTTTATGTTGTCGTGATAAACCTTGAAGTAGGGCTCCATAGTCTGCAACAGCTGGGTAGTGAAGATTTCATACCTGTTTGCGTCAGGGTCGTCGGAAAGGAGGAGCTTGATTTTCTCAACACTCGATGGCACCCCTAACATTACTATGGGATAAGCGGTGTTCTTCTTGGGATGACGCACCACCTGCCTCTTCACTGACGTCATCATCATCTACCATCTCGTCGGTAGTCACATCAGGATCCCTTATCACCTCCAAGATGTCGTCGTTGGTGGTCTCGGAGAAGCCTGCAGCTGTAACACTCTGCGCAGCTTCTCTGGCAAGGTCCACTGCTACTGCAACAGTCTGAACCTCACCAGTCACAGATTGACTCTGCCTTACGCCCGGAATGCCTTGCAACACATGTCTCCATGCGTGACAAACAGTTGCTACAGACAGCTGATCCCATGCCTTCACCAAGAAGTCCACAGCTTTCTTGATGTTGAATATTCTCCTGAATTGTTTGAAAAGTATTTTTTGCTCTGCCAACTGTTGATCCTCGTCGTCTTCGCTCTTGCTATCGGTGGTGGTGTCACTCAGGTTACGCAACTCTTCCCTGGTGTTGGTGTAGTTGTTCAGGAGCTTGAATTTTTTTGTTGAGAATGCAGCTTTTACATTACAGATTAACTCTTGGTCCATGGGCTGTAATATAGACGTAGTGTTGGGAGGAAGGAAGACCACTTTTACGTTGGGGTGACGATCTAACAGTAGGGTCGAGTGTCCTGGTGCGTTGTCCAGCAGCAACAAAATCTTGAGTGGCACATTCTGTTGCTCACAGAATTTCTTTACATCGGGAACGAAACAGTCATCAAACCAGGAGAGGGACAGTGTAGAGAACATCCACGCCTTACGTGCGGTCAGCCAGTGGACATTTAGCTTGGTCATGTCCATGCTCTTGTAGGCGTGCGGCTTGCGTGCTGTGTGGATCACCGATAACTTGAGCTTACAGGTACCGGAGGCATTGGTGGTAAACAGGACGGTGATGCGCTCCTTCTGCATCTTCCTGCCCCGAATCTTGCTGGCATTCTTCACAACGAAGGTCTTGGAAGGTAGCTTTTTCCAAAAAAGACCAGATTCGTCCATGTTAAACACCTGGTCGTCGGTGTACTGTCCTTCCTCCATAATCTCACGTAAAAACGGAGGAAATTCCCTAGCCGCAGCACGATCAGCACTCGCTTCTTCACCACCAATGTTTATATTGGTGATCTTGTTCTGGATCTTAAACCTCTGTAATCACCCAGAGGAAGCATTAAAGGGTTTGGGCTCTGTAATTCCCATCTTTCGTGACACTGCAGCATACAGTTCACGTGCGTACTCCTTAACAGAGCGCATGTCGACCGCCATGTTCCGTCGTGCCTGACGCACCAAGTAGCTCACAAGTAATTTTTCCGTCTTGAGAAGCACCTGGTTGTGGAAATACTTGATCATAGAAGCACCTGTAGACTTTGTCATCTTCATGTGCTCCTTCATCTTGGCTGCATCCTTCTTTATCGTCCGGATCGTAGATTCGTTCACACCATGCTCGCGCGCCAAACCAACCTGTCTTGTTCCTTTCTCTAACTCTTGGATGATCTTGTACTTCACCTCGTAGCTTAAGGAACGTCGTGTCTTCTTGGGCTTAGGGCGGTTGGGTCCAGGTAAGGAAAGGTTTCTCTCTGGGGGCGGTGGTGCGGCGGAAGCCATTTTACAGAACAATGGATGCACGATTACACTGTGTGGCCTGGAGGGGTGAAACTGCCGTGGCTAGGTCATGCGTCGTCTTTCCTCCCTCCCCTGGGTGGACACGTCATATTACTTTAAACCAATTACAGCTAGCAGCGGAGGGAGGTAGGGATGCATGGCCAATCATAGTCCGATATGTCATATGACGTCACTGATAATGCAACAGAGACATGCACTGCGCAACCTTACCGCGCGGCTTGCGGAGGCAGGTGGGGCGAATCTAAAAATAGCGTCGAGCCGGACACTCTCCGCGTAAAGGGGTACACGCACCGCGGAATGTGAGCATCCTGGGTTCCGGCAGGGTACCGTGGAAACGCGGAATGTGGGACCACGTAAAGTGAGGGTTGACTGTATATAGAACTGAATAAATTATAATATGATGTAGCTAAATAGAAAAGAATTGCCTCTTGAATGGTTCACTTCCCACATTGTCTTTAGAATTTTCTTAAAAGAAACCAGATGGAATATTCCTTAAGTTTACTGTACAGTCACCCGCAAAAATCCTGCTGCCTCTTCTCCTGAACCACGAATCTCGAGATTCAGACTCGTGAATCTGAAGCATATTTGGACAGAATAACGTATCAGTGCCTACTGCTTCAGGTTCATGAGTCTGAATCTCGGAGTCTGTAGAACAGCAGGAGAGAGAACGGGCGACTGTACAGTATACCACTAGAAGAATTACCGTAGACATCATTTATTTTATCATTCTATACTTAACAACAGGAAACATCTTTGAGGATTGGTGCTTATGGTAAACAGGAGCTCCGTAAAATATAAAAACACACAAGTTATTATGACGGTGGATCTGGAATGTATCCGTTTCTGATTTAGAATTCATGAAGCTGAGAAATTTTATATTTAGTTTTTTACTAAAATATTTATGTATAAAGGAATGATATAAAGGTGACTTGTTAAAATGTTAGTTTTCTTTTTCTTCTGATAACATGATATTTTAAGCTGTTTGAATTACCTAGTGAGAGGAATACATTAATTTATTTATTAATCTCCCCATTAGCCGGAATCTTCAATCCCCAGAACTTTCCAATACCCGTAAAAAAAAAATTGTAGCATTTTGAGAAAAATCTCTGTTCCGGGCATTCAAAAAATTTCTGAGAGATTGCAGCATGTGCCAGCACAGGCCGAAGGTATAGGAGGGTAGGCTCAGATTACAGGGCTGCCTCACTTATCGCAATGGTTACGGGCATGAAACTTGTTGCAAATATCGAAATTGCGAATAGTGGAGCAATTTCTACCATAAGAAAATAATGTAAATAGGGGGGATACAGGCATCTCCGCCATGTTTCACCTCGCGGTGGTCACGGCCGTCAGATTTTAACACTTGTTTTACTCAATACATATAGAACATAAAATAAATAAAGAAATAAGGGCATAATATCAAATAAACATCAATAACAAACACTTTGAGTTTATTAGGCATATACGTTTACAAGTACAGTATACTTTACATATTTGAGTGTTTGAATGTTTATGTGCGTAGGTGTGTGAGGTAAGTTTTAAACATACAGTACTGTTAATTTACCTCTGATGTGCTGTGTTGCTTGCATGCTGAAGTTGGCATTAGGGGAGAGGGTGAAGGTTTACTGGGGGTAAAAGGAGGCTGGGGTTGTCAGCCACCTCACTCTCCTTCTTACTGCCAGCATAGTCAGCCAACTCACTCTCCTGACTGCCAGGGTCGTCAGCCACCTCACTCTCATTATCACTGCCAGGGTCGTCAACCACCTCACTCTCATTATAGCTGTCAATTTGCACTGAAAACTGTTGTCCTCCACTGGTTGAAGGCTGTGGTTTTACACTGGTCTTGAACAGCTGCTTAAAAGCTGTGTTCTGTTCGGATTTAGGTGGGGTGGTTGGTGCACTTGGGGTTGAAGGTTTGGCCGCAATAAATGCATCATGAGTCATTTGTTGCACATTCTTCACCCTTCTCCTCAAGCACCTCATAGTATGCTCGTATGTCTTTCTTGACATTGCGGATGATAGTGCAACTTCGGTCAACATTAGGGTTCATTTCTAATGCCATATCCGTCGCCATCTCAAATCAAGAAATAAGCTTCCTTAGGTTTTGTACAGTGAGGAGTTATGTTGGAGTTTCATCTGCATCTTCTCCCATTGCAAGTGGCATTTCTTCCTGCTGAAGCCTCTCCGGTTTTGTCAGGTCTTCATTGGTAAGTACTGCATTGTGAGAGTCGAGGAGGTCTTCTACATCAGCGTCATCCACTTCATTGAATTCAGCCTTCTTTGCAAGTCACAATAGTCTTCCTTATTGCAGGCACTGAAGGGAAACCAACGAAGTTGTGCACACACTCGGGCCACAGCTTACGCCACACACCGTTCATGTTCTGTTGTGTTATTGCCTCCCATGAATCACTGATATTTTTTTATGGCTTTCCTGATATTGTAGTGTTTTTTCCACAACTCCCAGATTGTAGGTTTCCTTTTCCATCGATCCTCTCAATCAGCTGCTCCATGATACACTGTAGATATGACGCCCTGTTCCATGGGTTGCAGCAAAGCCATGGTGATGGGAGGCAAAAACACAACTTTAATGTTCTTACACCAGTCAACCTAGCTGGTGGATGACCTGGTGCATTGTGGATCACCATCAGAGCTTTATCATCAAAATTAATTCCCTTATTATAGCGACTAATGCGACCGGACACATAGTTGAACATGCAATCGTGCATCACAGACCCTGTCACACCGCGCCAGATGACAGGAAGTTGTCTCTTCACAACCCCCCTCAAAACATAGGGTGTTTCAGACCGGTCCACAAGGAGAGGTTTTAACTTCAGGTCACCCTCAGCATTTCCACCAATCAATAGAGTGAGGCAGTCCTTGGCAACTTTGAATCCCAGTGTGGTCTTTTCCTCCTTAGATATGTAGGTCCGTGAAGGCATTTTCTTCCAATCACAGTCTTTCCTTCTCCGTGTTCATGTCTTTTTAAGATATCCAATTTCACGTCCAACGTAACTGCCACACGTGATCTCTTAGCAACATTGCTGGGAGATTTAATAGCTGGTCGCTTAGGCATTGCGAGATCACACAAAACACAAGCCAGCACGTGTGAGACTGAGACGAGCGGGAGCTTATGGCGGGCTTGAGAGAAGGAGTGTATGGCGGAGGAATACGTACACGTGCTGTCCTACTCTATGGTTGAGGCGCTCGGTTCAAAATTTTTGCTCGTAAGAATTTGCGAATAAACGGGGCAACCATTGCGAATAGTGGAAATGGGTAACAATAAATTGATTGCGGATAAACAGGGTTACAAATACCGAGGCTATGAGGTACAATTGACTACTACTGTACTATCATGTGACTGCATGGGATGCCTATGATTGATTGATGTATCTCACAGCTTATCTTTTCAAATTCTAGTGTCATGACACTCTTAGTTTATTGTCTGCTGCCATTGTACAAGCTTGTTTGCTCCCTCGCTGCTGTTGGCGCATACGATCTGTGTTGTGCAGTATTGTACATTACTGTACCAGGATATAATCAGCCAAGAATATTGTTAATTCAGTGTCAAGATGTAAAAAGTGACTACAGTTATGTTTGCTGTGCTCTATATTCAGTAAGTGTGACAGTACCATATGTACAGTACTGTATGTAGCAGTGGACAGTGTATGCATACTCTAGGCTATTGTGTAGAGGGTGAAAGGACAGTTTACAGTGTCTGTACATCCCCTCCTTCATGGAGGGAGAGAAGAGTGGTAGTTAGCAACACCTGCTACAGGAGAACGGCAAGCAATCCTGTATCATCATATCACCATATGGCCTGCCTGCATCACAAGCTCAAGGCAACAGCATCTGCTGGTGAGTACAGTTTAGTGTATAGTACAGTACAGTAGTACAGTATATTTTGTTTAATTAAAATTTATTTTATGTGTACAGCAGTGTTTGCATAAATAAATACAGCTCTGTGTCTGTCTGACTGAAGTTAAGCCTTCATAGCAGCGTAGTTTAGACATGGAATCATTCACCAGTGCCCGGAAAAAATTCCATAGATGTGCATTATTTTCGGGATAAGAAAATTTTTCTCAATGCCGTACTTAGAAATCTCTCAAATCTGGAAACCAATTAATCCAGCTAATGGGGAGATTACTATATTTGATTATATTCATGTAGACAAAGGTTATGTGCATGTGTGTCCAAATCTTCATTATTCCTCTATAAAAAGCAAATGGCTACAGAAATTGTACTTGTACCACAAATACACAGAGCTCTGTAACAGTACATTATACATCTTATTGTGTCTGCTATACTGTACTGTACAGTATATGCTTTATTTAATATTCCAAAAACTTTCTTGATAACAGGGTAAAACTAAACAATTTGTGATGTGTATTTATCAGTTGTCTCAAATGCTGCTAGGTCTACAGTAGGTTCCTAAAGACACCACATCCATAGCCCAGGGTGTTTACCGTCACTCAATCATTGAGCTGATGATCCTGTGACTACCTGTGCTTGATATAAAACACTTGATCTTTTTTAAGTGCCTTTGGTTGTGTGACAGGCATTTTTGGGGTATTTGGGAGATATCCCTGGTTTTTTGAGGGATAAAGTTGAGGTTACCTCTTGATGCAGATGCTCAGCAAGACAACAACAAATTGACAGTCCGATCACGAAAATCAGGAGAAGGAAGGGTGTTAAAACGGCAGCCAGCTCCGTGGCCTCAGATTGGGTCTGATCACAGTTGTGGTAAGGTGGACCAAAATGCTGCTCCAACTTATGCAGTATCCCTGTCATCTTCATCTTCAGGATTCTGTTTGCAGAGAAGGATTTAATTCTAATTTGTATTGCACATTTACATTTTGTCAGTGCTTATATTTATACAGTACATTGACCAGAAACTCAAAACTATTAAGATATCACAATACGGTATTAGATTACTGAGTAGCGTCTGGGGAAGAATTTTACACCCCTTTGATATTACCACAAACTCATCTAGACAAGTTATAGCACATAAAATCGAGCTTGGAATATTTTGTTTGCCATTATACAGCTGACTATAGTAACTTTAAGAGCCAATGCAATCTGACCATTATGCTTCTAAAAGTCTAAAAATTATGTTTAAGTTAGCACATGAGCATCATGCATGGCACAGTATATGGGAAGAGGAAACAATGGCATTCATTAAAATAATACAAGTTTTGTGTACTTTTCATGTTTCAGAAAAAAGAAGGATTAGGAGTAACTATGATCACACACACCAAAATGGTTGAGTAAGTGAAAGTAAACTTGTTTTAAAGAATCACACACATTTACACACACACACACACACACATACACACACACAAGCTAATCACCCATTGCTCTGACACAAACACATTTCAATAAACAGACCATTCTACCGGATGTGGTGTGCCGAAATTATACCATGCTGAAAATATTCTAGGCTTGCACATTTCAATCAAAATATCATTGAAGGCTTGAGGTGTGCTGAGATTACCCCTTGGAATAAAATGTCAGGTTAATTGAGTTAAGCCAAGTTAGGTTAGGTTCTGATCGAACTTCACATGCCTAGAATATTTTCAGCACAATATAATCTCAGCACGTGACACCAGTACACCAATTATTCATACATTTGATTAAATACAGGAACAAGAGGGGATCCTTTCTGGAGGGCGAAGGAGGTGATGGCGGTAAAGACAGCGTTGGGCAGGATTAAGTGGCGACAATCGGCTGCATTCAGCACATAAATTCCTGTATCAAAATAGATGTAATTCTCCTTCAGTGTCTTCTGCATTCCCTCCAGTGTGTCCCCAACAAGGACATGATCTTTTTTTGCCATCATGTTCTTATATGCCAACTGGTAGTCTGGGTTAGGGGAAACCTGTTATGGGCAAGATTTGTAACATAAGAATACAAGGGCACAGGTATAGTCCTCTTCACTAGTGTGTTTACAGGGGGCTCGTTATATAAATACAGTATTACACAAATCATTATCTTTGAGATACTTATTTTAATATTGTTTAATTTGATTCCATAGTATGTTTACTATTACACCTGTACTAGCTTCCTTCTGTCGGATGTACCATAAACACAGGACTGCCACAGTGCACAAAACCTGACTATCCCCTGTAAACTCACTAGTGAAGGGGACTGTATAGTACAGTACTACCTACTGTATTTATTTTATTTTCATTATATACATTATTTCATGTGAGTTAGTTACTTTTGAATAGCATGTGAACTGTCAGGTGTCAAAACTGATATAATATATGTATGAAAATAACATACTATATTTACTGTAGTTGACAATGCCAAGATAAAAAATATATATAATTATTTATTTAATGTAGAAAATTTCATAAAACTGTATCAACCTTAGATATGACTGAGCTTAAAATGAAATATATTTTGTATACTTTTTGAGATCTTCAGTAGGAAAGCATATTACTGTTACTGTACTTTATAAGAATACCAAAAATGTTAAGCTTACTGATTTAAACTCACGGGTGCTGTGCAAATTAAGGAATGAATAATAACTTTGTAAAGAATACGGTAAAGTTTAACAAAACACGATATCTTATATAGTACACAGTGGCGGATCCAGGAATATCAAAGGGGGGGGGGTGTTCCATGAAGAACTTTGTGGGTAGAAGAACATGGCAAGCACAACATTTAGGCCATTTTGAAGCCATGTGCACTTGATACTAGGAGATATTCTGAGGTCAATAGTAATTAATTTTTACTCTACAAAAATGCCTGAGTACTGTATGTATATTATGTATGTTGTACTGCACCAAATAAAAAGTATTGGAATTTTCTGATGAAAAGGAGGATGGTCCGGACCCCCTGAACCCCCCCTGGATCCGCCCCTGGTACAGTACTGCATTACTGTACATACATACGTGTATACTGTACTTCTCACATGAATGTCAATACTGTAATTCTTTTAAGACAAACTTAACAAACCTAACTATATGAATAATGAAGCACCTTAAGATATTCTAGAGGTGCAGTGTCCCTGACAGTGCCCAGGGAGAGTGAGGAGCTTCTAACGACGTCGCTGATAGAGGATATAGCAGGGAGGGCAGGTCCCACAGCCAGGGCAGAGACTAAATTACTGGTGTAGTGAGCCAGCAGCACCACATGCAGCAGCATCAATATCAGCAGCACCAGGCGGGACGACAATCTTCGGTACTCGACTTCAGTTCCTATACAGGAAAAAATCTTTATTTTGACTGTAATCAGAAGCATCTGGTTGACTAAAGGAACCCTGGCTTTTTCTGGTGATGGCTCAGTTGTGAGCTTGAGTCTCCAACGAGGAGAAGGGGTTGGAGGTGGTGTAGGTTGTGTACCACAGCACTTTTTCCATAGTGAATAACAAACTCAGACCCTAATTAACGTGTTGACTTGCTAAGCATGTTGTGAAATTTATATAATAAAACAATGACAACAAACACAGAAATAAATAAATACACCACATGAAAAGTTTACATGCAACACCTCCACTGTGGCAACCCAAAGAAAGATGGCAGAGGAACTCCTTGCCTTGGATGCAGACGATCCTCATGGTTATAATGAGGGAGTACAGGATATAAATCTTCCTCACCTTGACCACACAATGCTCCGAGGACAATAGTGACCGAGTCGGAAATGCGGAATTTCTCTTTTCCCTTCTCAGTGATGGAGATGAGGTACAAAATGATAGCGAAGACTACAATGGAAGCCACCAGCACCGCCCACACGTGTAAATGGAACTCCTGTGTGAAGGTCGTCCATGTCTGGTCATTGGTAGAGGGTTTCTTCATCACCATCCTGTACCTGTTGAGGAAATGCCTGGAGTCGTCCTCTGTTCCTCATAAACATACTGTACTGCACAAGACTGACTATGAAAACTCTTGCAACTCTCACGTGTTGCACTCTGGAGTGTGTAGTGGTACCCGTACTATCCCCTGACTAATATTTGCATACTGTATTTCTTGCTGTATCTAACATGTTTTTTATTTATACCATCACATTTTTTAATGCTCTCTTCTCCTTACCTCCAACCCCAACCTACCATCATATTCTCTTTCTTGTTTCTCTCCCCCTCTTTCTTCCTTCTTTCTCTCCAGTCCATATTAACTTTTCACCTAACATGTACAGACTCTTTCAAGATTCTTCGAACACTGCTAATGACAGCTGGCAACTCAAGGCCGTATGTTTACTATAGTATGTAGTAAAAATTATGAATGAATTCAAAATTTATCCGTGATTGATTACTTAGTTCCCCGTTGGTTAATTAATAGTTGGGCTTTGTTGTTTCGTATTTTCATTTTGTGCTAGCTGCAGTTTCGAAGAATCTTGAACGAGACTAAACCATCAGCTGTCATGAAGATCAACACTGTACACCATCAGCTGTTGTGTACACCAACACTGTACACCATCAGCTGTTGTATACACCAACATTGTACACTGCCAGCTGTCATGTACACCAAAATTTTACACAGTCAGCTGTTGTGCAAAACCAACATTGTACACCATTAGTTGTATACTACACCAACATTGTACACCTTCAGTAGTGTACACCATCAGCTGGCATGTACACTAACACTATACATCATCAGCTGTTGTGTACCCCAACACGTGCATCATCAGCTGTCATGTACACCAACATTGTACAACGTTAGCTGTTGTGTTCCTTGTTTTTGTTTGATTCTTCTGGGTTAGGTTAGGTTTAGTGTGAAGGTGATCATTTATATGTATTTTATGATCTGCTTGATTGTTTATAAACAGTCAGATGTTTAAAGAAAATGAAATACGTACATAGAAATTATCAGTAATCGGCAATTGTTCATATTTAGTGTCAATATATATATATATACGTATATATATATATATATATATATATATATATATATATATATATATATATATATATATATATATATATATATATATATATATATATATATATTGACACTAAATATGAATAATTGAAGGTAGTAGGTAGTAGGCAGCTACCAAACAGGGAGGTACTACTGCCTGGGAAGATATTGGAAGCATAATGTGTTGTCTAATGGTAGACCCTGCTGCCATATGGCATCACGAAAATTGTGACCAAGTCCCAGGTTGCTGATCTGACTTTCTGCTTCACTTACACACAATTGCAGGGTCTCAATTGTTTCTCTTACCATTGACAACACAACATACATATATCGCTTCTCACTTTTGATCTTTTTTTTTATTTTTTTATTTATAGTTCTTTATTATTAATATTATTATTATTATTACAGTTACTGTATTATTATCATCATTATTTTATTATTTTATTTTGTTTTATCATAAATTTTATTTATTATGAATTATTATGACTTATTATTATTATTATTATTATGATGATGATGATGATGATGATGATGATTATTATTATTATTATTATTATTATTTCGCCCCCCAGGCCCCGATGTGGGTCAGTGACCTGTGTCCGGGTGGGCTAATCCCCATAAAAAAAATATATAAATAAATAAATTATATATATATATATATATATATATATATATATATATATATATATATATATATATATATATATATATATATATATATATATATATATATATATATATATATATATATATATATAAAATACGATGTATTCAGTACATTCGATATAGCTCACTGCCAGAGAGGGGAGTACAGTACAGTACAGTGCTGTACTCTATATACTGTATATGAGATACGATAGTACAATTGAGACACCAGATACAATATTCAAGTAATAAAAAAGATAACTCACTGTGTACGAGAGACTGGCAGGAGAAAATCTATAGCGGTGCTTCTCTCGTGTGTAATATCGAGAGACGCTACAGCGAAGTCAGCGACGTCATCCACCAGATCTTTTATCATCCCCGTCCACCTTCCATCCTCCACAGAGCCCCACTGTCCGTCTCGCGAGGGTCGACATGAGTATCTAAACTCAAAACCAAGTAGATTTAATAAATTAAAGCTCTGCTCAAAACAAAGTCTCAGGGTCGGATCCAGGGGTACCATTTTCATCAGAAAATTACTATTGACCTCAGAACATATACTAATATCAAGTGTACATGGCTTCAAAAGGCCCATGATATTAGCAAGATTAAAAAAAAAAGCTGGATTAGCTCGCACTGCTCGCCATGTTACCCCACCCACAACTTCACCTCCCCCCTCATTTTGATATTCCTAGATCCGCCCCTGTGTCTAGGTTTGAGTAACTGCAATCTTGATATAATTGTGAGTACAATAGGGCCTACCTACAAGCGTAAAGGTTAAACAAAGTTTGAATGTGAGTCAGTAACTGCACTCAATAATGGTGTAAGTCTACTATATATAGTTTCACTCAAAACCAAAATAAATAATGGATATGTACAGGTAAACAGATAGATAGATTAATGGAGAGAATAAAGCCAGTTCACACTCAAGGACTAAAATACTAGTATTTTATCCTAGGTACATACTAGCCCGATGTCATATAGCAATCGATGATGTCATACCGGCCCATTTGGTGGACGTCGGCTGCTCGTTGACACGGGAAAGAAATTTATTTTGCCCGTCCAGACGGGAAGCGCTGGTGCCCGTCTGTATATTGTTGAAGTTAGTTAAAGATTCACATTAACATTCATGGTCTTGGACCCAATTGACAGTTCAAATACTTTTATTACACCCAATTACGTCCTCAAGATACAGATTTGTATTAAAAAAGATATCGACTGTGAACGCATGAAATGTGGATATAATACAAGTTATAGGATGAAGATCTATAATAAATGTGTCGTACCTCTGGCACCTCGAGGATTTTTCCCGCGCGATATTTTTTCATTTTCAAATTCAGTCTCTGTGACCTTGACGGAGTGAAGGTATAAACTCGCGGACGTTTAAATCCACTGGCTTACGTGTGTGTGTGTGAATACTGTTGACTGCTTATTGTGGATAATTGTTGGGAATATTTGGTGATATTTTCTTGTGTAGTGAATATTGTGAATACATGTTTTAATAAACCCGTTATCATTGACCCATCATGCCTCATCGTCCCTATCGAGTGCTGAGAAACAAGAGAGGAACTGAGTTTACTTTAGCTCACAGTAATAGTGATAGTGAGGGTTGTTATGTGAGATGAGTGAGGCCACAAGCGGTAACGTCTCAAGACCATTCAACACAACAGTATTGGGTGTAATTCCTCCCCTCCCCCTCCAAAGCAACTCAATATTCGCTGCAGTATCCAGTGGTGAGTGACTGAGTATTAATATCCTTATTCCCGCCGTACTGCAGGATCGTGAGTGTTAAAAATTTTGTAAAATAACAATGAATTTCAGCTTAACTAAAGTATGCATAATAAATATTCATATTGGAAAGGAAAAGATTCAATACATTGATATTATACATATTTTGAAGGTACGGCAAACTGTATAGAAGGTATGTTTTCTGGAGTTTGTTTTACTCCTTTCCAAAGATAAATTTAATTTTATGTGAAATGAGCTTCAACCCAACCTAACCCTAATGAATAATAAGTTAATAAAAGGTAATAACTATATAAATAAATAAGATGAAGCAGCTCAGTCTGTTTCTCCCACGTCATAAAGCGTCTGTATCTACCAGCTCAAGAACACTACTGGGGTAATAACCCTAGACATTTCTATGAACAATGGAGGGTCCTACACAGGACACTGAACTCTTTCCTTCCCTCGGTGTAACCACCTCTAGTGGCTGGCAATTCTATTACTTTTCGTCGCAGATTTATATTTTTCTCGATTTATTTTGAGTTTTTTATTTGACTTAAACAAGTACTTAAGTACACTCCCCAAAAAGTATCCACCCCCCCCCCTGGGCCTGATGTATTTGGTGTTTCTGATTGTGAGTTGCACCTTTCGTTCTTTCTTCTTTCACCTGATAATCACCAAGATATCTGCAGTATTTTCAACATAATGTAATGAAATAGGATGGTGAATTGTGATACCACATGAAAACCAATAACGTTACGAATAACCTCGCTGATTTATGTACCTTTGATACTATTTCAGTCCCAGGGGATAGGTTGCCAAATAGGAATATAAGGTTAATATGTTTTCTTGAACTGAGGTTACAATGGAGTCTCTTCGAACGAAATATGAAACACTATGATCCGATATTACATTAATTTGCAAATATAGTAATTATAGGTGTATTGTGATTACATATCCATTGATTTACTGCATTTCGACATTATTTCTACCTCAAGTGATGAATTAACAATTATTATGAATATAACATATCATCTCATGATTCATGCTGGTAACATTATCTGATACACACTACGAGAGGATGTCGTTAAGTCCTCCCATGCAGTGGCAGCTCGTGCATAGGGCTGCAGCTGCAGTCCTCCCAGACACTCACTGCCAGGCGTATGATTCCTCTAGAGAGACAGCTGAATAATACACTACCAACAAATATATCATTTTATATGTTATTTAATTATTTTCAATACGTTGCTAAGTGAATTTTCATTAAAATCAGACCAACATTTAAGTTACTTTCATAGTTGCTGTCAATGCTGTACGATTCATGTCTGTTATTAATTGGCGCCGCCGCCGCACTTGAAGCAGCTCAGTCTCGTACAACGTGTGGACGGTGTGGTTAAATCGTGCTTTCTTTAATTACCCTTTGACGATGGAAAATCGAGTGAAGTATTTGCAAAACATCAACTTTTCCCAGCTGACATTAAATGAAAAGAATGAAATCAAAGCAAGAGGAAGACCTACACCAGTTTTATCCATTCAACAGAACAGTACAAGCAGGAACAAAGAATATACACGCCAGTTTAACATCAGTGTTTATCAGAATGACAGACTGTCTGCTTTAGCAGTGATATCCATTGAAAATAAAATGATAACAGAAATAAAGGATTTTAATGAAATAGTAATAAACAATTTTGCTACATCGAAGAGCAGACACGCCGACTTAATTTTCAATTAATACTGGTCCATCACCACCAACACTACTACCATGCCCTGGGAATTCGTGGACATCAACTACAACTCATACCTGAGGTAAGTCAAATTTGTGTATCCTACTGTTGTGTGAGGCTTGCAGTCCCTCCATTTTATTTTTCACGAGCCGCCACTGCGAGTCCCATGGGATTGATAGTCACTATGGAGACGTCACAGACAACACGAGGCAGTATCATCGCCCTTCACGGCATAGGCATAAGCAACAAGGAGATAGATAACAAACATTGATTTATAGTTATATTGTTATTCGGAAAATGACATTTCTCCCAGTCTGTCGTTGCAAGCTGTGTTTTCCAATGAGTCTCGGGAACTAGTATTGGTCATAGATTTCCAGCAGAAAGCATCCACTATTTGACTGCCGTTGATTTATTTTCACTACATTAATATTATTATATTATTCGACTAATGATGGAACACGGTGATTCACCATAATTAAAACAAATGCCAGAAATAATAACTGCCAATCTCACAGCTACTAGGAAGGCAGGCTTACCAACATAATGCAGGATTCACAATTAGTGATCGGAAATATTCGTCCTTTGTGACATTGTATCGACAAGAAAGGGGTCCGGTACTCTTTTGGGAGAGTTTACATTTTGGTGGGAGACGATGTTTACACTCCGTAACTATATGTCCCGCGTTATGTGATACTCCTGCGCATGCTCAGAGTTGAATTTTGCTTGGCTAGTCGCAAGACCTTTCCGAATCTTTACCCTTGATTGTTTACATTTTAACTCGTCTGAACGGACCACCGTTTTCGTGACGACATCGATGGCTATATTATGCATGGTCAAAATACATGATAGTTCACGAGCTACGTCAGAGACGGCCGTCAATACGGGCTATGAGGGAGAATCATTGTCGAATTACACTACCCTACCACTACATTGTAAAAGTCATAAACAAACCGCAATTTACTTATTATTTACAGTAAGTTAATGTACATGGATGAATATTCTATTAAAGTAAAGAAGAATGTCAATTTATTAATTAATAAATTCAACATAATCTACCCTGGCTGGAAGTCACACAACATACTGTAGTGGATTTCTCCCCTACAAACGCTGTTTGTCGCTGAGTAGCCGATCCCGCGAATTCCCCAGTGTATGCCTCGTGGCCTAGGTCAACCAGCGCCGCCTTACATGACCGAGGTCAACTACTAAGCCACGCCTACCTCCGCTATTTAAGACCTGACCTCGTGGTGACCTCTCTTTCTACCTACACCAACCAGCCAGCAACACCACCTCCTCCGCTGCTGCCTGGCGGTCCTCGCTCCCGCCGGCGAGCATGGCGACCTCCTCTGAGCATCCTCACCAACCAGCTCTCTCTACATCACGCTTGTAACCACGCTGCCACTTCCCAGCACCAAGCTGCATTGTACATCCAATACAACATGTATACAGAGAGCACATTGTGAGTTTCCTTTCTCCATCCCATCCTGAGAGTGAACCAATATCACCTACCCCTACAATACTACACTCCACGCCACGCACTCAACACACGCAATCGTACAACTCACTTAAAACACAATAAATAAATCGAAACCTCAGGAATAGAACATAAAATAGGGAAATAAAGGAATTGTGAATAAATGAAGAAATGGAGTGTGCATAAAGTTGGACAGATATATGAACGATATGAGTTGGGTGTAAACGGGGCTGCCGAGTGTGGGCCAATAGGCCCGCTGCAGTTTACTCCAACCTATTTCAATTTCAACAGTTATTCCATATTATAGGAAACGAGATCCTAGTGCTGTCACTAGATACCCCTGTACATTGTTACCAGAAGCATCTGGCAGGAGTCTCAAAATCATATTAAATTAAACACATGGCATCACAAAAATTGTGACCAAGTCCCAGGTTGTTGACATGACTTTCTGCTTCATTTACACACAATTGCAGGGTCTCAATTGTTCCTCTTACTATTGACAACGCAACATACATATATTGTTTCTCACTCTTGATCTTTTTTTTTGTCTTTACAGTATTATTATTATTTTTTATTATTATTTTATTTTTAAAATTTTTATTTATTATGAATTATTATTATTATTATGAATTATTATTATTATTATTACATTTTCGCCCTCCAGGCCTCGATGTGTATAATGGACCACTGTCCCGCATGGCAGTAAACAACATCACTCGCATGACTGACCTTTTTCTACTGCTAATGAATGAATATGATGTATTTCTTTGTGTACGAACCTCTGTCCTGCGTACTTAATATTGGAAGAACAAATACTGTCACTGTATACAGCCTTAACAACATCAACCTAGAGAAGTCGGCTTGTGAAAGAGACTTAGGGGTACTTGTAAGCCTGGACCTACGGCCTAGAAAACAGTGCGTTAATGTTCGAAATAAGGCAAACAGAGTATTAGGCTTTATATTGAGAAGTGTAAGTAATACGAGTGCAGAGGTCTTATTGCAAATATATCTTGCGCTAGTCAGGCCGCACCTCGATTATGCGGTTCAGTTCTGGTGCCCTTATTATAGAATGGATATCAATTCACTGGAGTCGGTGCAGCGAAGAATGACGAAATTGATTCCGGGACTTAGAAACCTTCCATATCAAGATAGGTTCAAGAAACTAAACTTGCATTCCCTAGAAAGACGAAGAGTGCGGGGAGATATAATAGAAGTATTTAAGTGGGTGAAAGGAATCAATAAAGGAGATATAGATAAAGTTCTTGTAATATCCGAGCAGGATAGGACTCGTAGCAACGGATTTAAGTTGGATAAGTTTAGGTTTAGGAGGGAGATAGGAAGGAACTGGTTCACAAATAGGGTGGTAGATGAGTAGAACAAGCTTAGCAACTTTGTAGTAAGTGCGGGAACTCTGGAAAGTTTTAAAAGGAGGCTAGATAGATTCATGGATGAGAGAGAGTGGTAGTAACTCTCGACAGGAGCTGCCGTGCACAGGCCAACCGGCCTATTGCAGACTCCTTATTTCTTATGTTCTTAATAGGCAAACTGTACTCCAAGCTTTGTCAATAAATTTGTTAAACTGAAAAAAAAGCCCTCCAGGCCCCGATGTGGGTCAGTGACCTGTGCCCCGGTGGGCTAATCCCAGAAAAAAAACAGGTACAGTAATCCTCCATTCTGATGTTTTTATGCCTGGAGATGAAAAAAAAGATTAATATGAAATGGCCTAGAAAAGCGGCATTAGCGTTCGTGAAACAGTGAAGATGCATTAAAGTACGTGAAATAGGAAAGATACATTAACATACATAAGTTAGGGAATAGGTTAGGTTAGGAACCAACATTAAGAACGTACGTGAAGTTGGTGATCTCTTGGAGGTGGGAGAGAACACCGCCAAAGACCCCGCCAATAGAGGTCGTCCCGTCCATCTTGGTCTCAAGGATGGTGTGAGGAGACGCCTGATGTGGTGGAAGACCAGATAAACGAATAGAATAATAAGTTAATAAATG